AACAGCAATTATTACCATAGAATAGTTATAAAACAGCCATCAGTACCGTAGAATATCCATAAAACAACCATTATTACCATAGAATATCTATAAAACAGCCATAATTACTTTAGAATATCCATAAAACAGCCAACATTACTATAGAATATCCATAAAACAGCCATTGTTACTATAGAATATCCATAAACAGCCATCATTACCACAGAATATCCACAAACAGCCATCATTACCTATAGAATATCCATAAAACAGCCATCATTACCATAGAATATCTATAACACAGCCATAATTACTATAGAACATCCATAAAACAGCCATCATTACTATAGAGTATCAATAAAACAGCCATTCTTACTATAGAATATCCATAAACAGCCATCATTACTATAGAATATCTATAAAACAGCCATCATTACCATAGAATATCCATAAAACAGCCGTGATTACCATAGAATATCCATAAAACAGCCATCATTACCATAGAATATCCATAAACAGCCATCATTACCATAGAATATCCATAAAACAGCCGTGATTACCATAGAATATCCATAAAACAGCCATCATTACTATAGAGTATCTATAAAACAGCCGTGATTACCATAGAAAATACATAAACAACCATCATTACCATAGAATATCCATAAACAGCCATCATTACCATAGAATATCTATAAAACAACCATCATTACCATAGAATATCCATAAACAGCCATCATTACCATAGAATATCCATAAAACAGCCGTGATTACCATAGAATATCCATAAACAGCCATCATTACCATAGAATATCCATAAAACAGCCATGATTACCATAGAATATCCATAAACAGCCATCATTACCATAGAATATCCATAAAACAGCCATTATTACCATAGACTATCTATAAAACATCCACGATTACCATAGAATATCTATTAAACATCCATCATTACCATAGAATATCCATAAAACAGCCATCATTACCATAGTATATGCATAAAACATCCATTATTACCGTAGAATATCCATAAAACAGCCATCATTGCCATTAGTCTGGAAGCTAAGGCCAAGAATTTGGAGTTTAGCTGCACCCCACGTCAAACATTGCGGAAACAGACTTTTCTTATGCAAAATTTTCTGACTTTTTCAAAAATGATTGTTTCCAGGACG